CTGGACGTAGCCAACTTTCACCTTGTCGAACTGCAACATGGCACGCTAAATCACTATCCAATGTTTGAAAAAGTTTGTCAGAAATTATTAAGTTAATTAAAGACTCAAAATCATTGACGTTTCTACTTTTACAATAATGGATCCAACATGATCTTAAACGAGAGGCGAACTGCAAATGAGTTTCCCCCGTCAACCTTTGAGCTTGGCGAAAATTTTCTAAACATATAATTGGCGATGGTTCATATTCCTTAAGAATTAAAGATTTAATTTTTTCATAATCTTTCAAATCATCATCTTTAATATATACTAGAATATTAGAAGATTTATCACCTATCAGTTTAAGTAAAATTTCAGACTTAAACTCATTTGGTACGTTCTTATGCTTAAAAGCCCTTTCTATGGAATCAAAAAATAAGTTCCATGCTTCACCCTTTTTAGGTACAGAAATCGATAATGCCTGTACAGCTTTCAAAAGCTTATCTAATGAAAGTGTATTTTCTACGTTATTACTAGATTCGTTGCTACTTTCGATTTGCATTAAACGCAATTTCACAATTTCTTCTGACTTTTTTTTTCCTTTCTTCAACCGTAGTATTAAGAAATTCAATAACAAAATCTTTATCTTTCAAATATTCTTTAGAACTTAAAAGCTTATCTTTTAATTCTACAACTTTTAAACTAGAATCGGCTTCTTCACCTAGTTCCTTCAACACCGAAATCAAATCACTTTTAACTACTCCTTTAAACATATTTAGAAGAAATTTTCCTTAAAGTTACAACAAAAATTTCTCACCTTTTCTCCAAAATCCAGTCGGCTTCGTTAGCTCTGGTTCTCGAAAGAGAGCGTGCTGTAATGACCTTACGGATTAATAAGGCACCATAAGGAAAACGACACCAACATTTATTAAAAATTAACTTTCAAAGAATAATGAAAAAAAATTAACATTTAAAGAATAAAGGCAAACTCGGAGCACTACCTCGCTCCTACAACATAATTAACCTACACCTGCCTCCTCTGAGGCTAACATGCAACTCTTCTCTCTCTCACTTGCTGGGCTCTGCCAGGCAGCTGATTGGCTCACCGCTGCCAGATACATGACACTGCCATCGAAATATAATTAAGACCTGACATTCTTCCTGATGGTTTTGAAATCATATATTCGGGATAAGAAGGAAGTGTTTTGATTAAAGATAATTCTCTAGATGGCCTCTTCCATCGGTAAACGAAACCATTTGCGACCATCTTCAACTGTTGGATATCTCGTTTTGGCTGCCTCATCGATCATAACCATAACCAAGGTTCTCAAATGAGATCCGCAATTTTTTGCAGAATTTCACGCGCATTTTGGGTACGAACAGAATCACAACAACAGCCTATCATCCAATGTCCAACGGCATTGTTGAACGATTTCATCGACATTTAAAATCTTCTCTCAAGGCTCACGAAACCAATAACTGGACTGAAACACTACTAGTTGTTATGCTTGGTATTCGTACAGCCGTAAAGGAAGATCTACAGTCATCTTGTGCTGAACTGGTGTATGGCACAACTCTCAAGCTGCCTAGTGATATGATAAAGTCATCTAAGATATCTTCGTATGACACACAATTTATCATGAATCTTCGGCATAGAATGCAACAATTGAATCCAATAGCAACATCTGCACATTACCAAGAAAAATGTTACATAAGTGCTACTTTAAAGTCGTGTACGCATGTATACTTACGTGTCGATCGAGTAAGCCACCTCTGTGCCAACCATTACAGGTCCGCATAAAGTCCTTCTAGAGCGGACAAAACTTTCACAATTGATATTAACGGTCTGAAATCTACTGTGTCTATAGACCGTGTGAAACCAGCCTATTTGCTTTCAGACACTAATTTGCCTGAACTGAAAACAAATAAAGACTTAAAGACAGTTCAGCAGAATAAATCTGCAAACAAACTCTCTAATACACAAACTGTCACCAGATTGGGAAGACATGTTCACTTCCCTAAGAAACTTGCATCTTACATAACAATTTAAAACACTTTTTTTTAAAATTCATATCTTAACAATATTTTTTGTTATTTCATATTTATTATATGTGTCATTACCTTGTTATATATTGAACTGCATTTTGATCTTTTCTAATTTTATATTCTAATTTTGTAATCATGAAAAAAAAAAAATACCCGACAGTACTGATCCTCTGAGATCATTTCATAACCTGATGTCGTTCCTTTGAATAGCCATTAAAGGAACTGGGGGGAAACTGTGTGGTGATGACGATAAGGAAGCGCGCCTTGCGCCCTCCGATAAGTGTGGCAACCCTAGAAGAGAAGTTTCTTAATGAGTAGCGAGCAGAGCGAAAGAGGCTGGCTGTCGGGGCAGTGTGCGCGAAGTTCCGAAATAAAGCTTATTTTTATTGTGCACTAGGTCTCGTTAATATTTATATCAATGCAGTAGGAACATAAATCTGTGATATGGAATTCGAGGATTGGTGGTAAAAACAACAGGAAATCACCATAGTACACAAGGATAAATGCATACATATGTGCACACATGCATGTACCATATATGTGTGTGTTAAGAAAGAAATTTAGAACCAAAAATGAAATTCAAATAAATAAATTTAAAAAAAATTATAAATGTAGAATTATAATTCTTTAAATGTTAAAAAAATGTTAAACCATCACAAGAAAAATCTAAAGCAAATAAAATAAAAAAGAGCATAAAAGAAGAGGAATCCATTTAACTCTGACATAACGTTGTCAGAAGGAGGTACATCAAAATCAATTATAATTCCTTTTCCATAAGAAAATCCTTGCTTTTCTATATCCAGAATCAGCTGATGAACTATTCCAGTAATTTTTTTTAATCTTAACAGTTCAGCCAAAAATTCAGGTCTTTCCCAAAGCAAGAAAAAAGGCAAAAATGCAAAGTAAAATCATTAATGAAAATTTTCCCTAATTTAAAATGAAATTTTCCTAAAACTGAAAACTTACGTATAATATGTAGGAAAAATCAAAGCTTTCGTTGAATAAATTCTTTAAAATCGAGAATAATCAAGAATGTAGCGAAAATTTATTACACAAAACTTTGCGAGATCCTGAGTTTGAAACAATGAAAATAACTGCTAAAATCTGAGACACTTAGGGTGGCCAGTTTGGCCTCTTTGGCAAAACTAAAAACTAGTGAAAAAAGCCATCTCCCAAGAATTTTCCGTTTTTTGTTAATAATAGTTCTTTATTTTCGGAGATACTATAGATAGCAGAATTTTTCTCATTTTCAATAAGCAAATCGTGAACTTTTTTTACAAAATAATGAAATTATTGCTTGCTTTATCAATTTTGGTAATTGTAAATTTTTCTTTTAATTGCAAAAACTTCAAAAGTAAATTTTTCCAGTTTTAATTCCTTTAAATCCTTTAATGAATTCAAAATTCTTTCTGCTTCGATTAGTAGTTTTATTCTTCCATTTCATAAATAAAAGGCAAATTTAGTTGAGAACTTGCTTTAATTATGAAATTATCAATATCTGTAGAAATGCTTTTGATGCAATGTAATTTAGAAATGTATTTAGTTGCACTATATTCTGTACCTTTTTTCATAAGCTGTTTTATTTCCTGATCTTGAACAATGTCGAGATCTGTAATAATGCGCTTGTGTTGTTCATCAACAAATGGCAGTAATTTCTTCTCATTACAAAATCAAGTGGCAAAAAAATCTGCTTCATGATGGTTTGTAAGATAACTACTAAGTTATTTGTTGTACTTAGTAATTACTGGAAATTTTTGTTCAGCTTGTTGAAATATTTTATGAAGGTGAATGTCATCAAAATTTCTGTGAAGAAAGTTACTGGTAAAGAATTTTTTTTAAATATTTAGAAGTAGCATAGTTGAATTTGAATTTACTGAAATCAAGTATTAAATCTTTGATGAGACTATTTCCTATAAATTTATTTTTGATGGAACTTTTGATGATAATTAGATGTCTGTGAGGTAGTGAATGAAGAAAGTGTAGAATATTTTTCTTGAAAGTATTTATAAAAGCTTTAACTTTTTTTCTTTTTTCTCTGGTACCTCTTGTCTGTTTTCATGCTGAAGAGACAACTGATAATAAACTGTAGTTAGTATAAATGTCAGATTTATTATTGATAGAAGAAATTAATCCATATGAATAAAGTGTTCAGAGCACTTGTTCAGAATTGCTGTACTTAATGTTTTCATCTGAAAGATGCATAATACAATAAAAGTAATGCACAATAATGTAATGAAAATATAATCAATAAAAGTTTTTTTGAACTAAAGGAAAATATTAAACAAAATAAAAAACAAAAAAGGGAAAAAATTGCTATTATCACAAAAATGCAAGAAAGGAAAATGAACAGTGATATAGTTTGAATGATGAAATGCTTGCTACAATATAATGAGAAAAATCAGTAAAAAAAAAAAAAAAAATTTAATTGAGAATATTAAAAATAATACTCTGATGAAAAAAGAAACTTGCAAAAAAATGCAAGGAATTTTGGTTAATGCATAAATATAATGTTAAATTTTTTTTAATTTGAATTTCCTGTTTGTGGAAGAAGCAAATGGTCAAACATTATTTTTGTATATAAATTAATATTGTTAATCAGTACATAATTTTAAACTATATTCAGTTTGAAAAATAAACTTATTAGAGTATGTATAGATTTTAATCATACCTAGGAAATACTTGCTACCAAGGTCTATTTTCAATTCATGTTGATAGCACTCGGTAAAAGATGCATATGTCCTAATATGTAGTATCATATGTTTCATTTATCTTTTTAAGTTGGCCTCCATTGTGAATTTCAACAAAGCACAAATTTTTAATATGCAAAAATGGCGCAAATTGCTGCAGTTACAAATAATATATATTGTAATTGCAGCAATTTGTATTTGTATTGTAATTGCAGCAAATCTATTTAGTATGTATTTTTTAACAAATTTATTGTAGTATATACTAATTTTTTTCCTCCATGTTGATTTCAGAAAATTTCATCTCCAACATTATCTGTAGTTAGTGAGTCTTTTTTACCCCTGCTGTCACGTTTGGATGAATGTATAGCTTATGTTGAAGCCAATGTAAGGTTATTTTTTAGGAGGGATTTCCTTTTTTTAAATATAAAAATTTGATGATGTTTTGCAATTTTTAAATTATGAACTGTACCTATGTAACTTTATGTAACTTCTTATTGAATGCAAATTAATATGTGTTTCATTGCTTAGATGTAGAAATCTGTTACAAATTGTGTGTATGCATATAACATAAGTGTAAAGGCATTTAGCTTTGGTGCTTATTTTGTTAAAGGTCCTAGATATATTGTTACATGTGTTTTTTATTATTATATTAATTTAATGCATTTTTTTTTTCTTATCTAGAAATTGTTTAAAAAATTATTCAAAATGTTTTCATTTTTGTATAAGAAAATATATTCATTTTCAGAATTCCACAATAAAAAAAAATAAGTAGATTTTGTATTATTCCAGTTCTTTTTGTCCAATAAAATATTAACCTGTGTTTTGTAACTATGTTTTGTTACATAATTTTTTGTATTGTCTATGTATGGTTACGTTATATATTGATGTATTGTATTGTTGATGCATAATTTTCCCTTTGTATCAGTACTATTTTTAAGTATTATTTCATTTTTATTATTTTATCATTATTAAGTTGGTTTATTTTTTTTATAGAGTATTAATATTATTTAATTAATTACAGTCGAATCCGGTTAATTGAACCACTGGATAATCTTACCAAATCCTTAAAAAACTGAAATGAATCCTATGTACATAAGCCTAATATTATTTGCTTATTTTGACCAAAATTCCATTTAATCAGACCCAAAAACGTGAGAGCAAATAAGAAACAGAAGCCACAAATGGGCCACGTACAGTGGGTCTGCCAACATATGGGAGGATCTGTAGTTCGGGTTCCCCAGGAAAATGCTTTATCAAAGGTCAGGAATTCCTTAAAGTGCATGACGAAAGCAAAACCGGTGGGAGGTGAACACGCGCACCATTTTCTTTGACCTGCGCTGAGTTTCAAGGAAATGAACAATAGTGTCCGCACCACCTGAAAGGAATTGTCAATCATGATTAAAGTTTACACGAGAAAGCTATCATTTCATCACCTTTTGGGGATGATTTTAGTGCCAAAGCTTTGAATGGCAAGCATTTTATTCTCCCTCTTGACCTCAACATCTTGAACCCGAAATACTAAGGTTTCTTCAGACCACTTTAGTCAGTGAACTGTGTGCATGTCTTGTCTCCCCTGCCAAAATGCCACAATGGGACTTGACGTTAGCTGAAAAATGTGGTTTCCTGGATAAGATCAAGCAACAACGACGAAACACTAGCCAGCGTCGGTTGGTGGAAATAACCGACTACAATTTTGCACTTGATAAAACAAGAGGATGAGCTGCAAGAAGAATGGGCACAATGTGAAGGACGAGGAAGAAATTCCAAAAAATGGAAGCGTGGAGGCAAGGACTCAGATGTCAGTGAGGCCCTTAATGAATGGTTTGCCAATGTTACTGGACAATCTGTGCAAGTAAGTGGCCCAATGTTAAAATGCAAAGCAGAAGACTCGCTAAAAAGCTGGGCCAAAATGAATTTAAAGCTACAGACGGTTGGTTGTCTCGATGGAAATCTAGACATGACATAAAATTCAAGAACAATGCTGATGAGACTGGGCTGTATTATCGTGCTACACCAGACAGCTCATTAAGTTACAAACATGTTGCACTCTCTGGCTCCAAAAAAAGCGATGGATGACGTAACTGTTTAGTGCAGCTCAAACTGGTGAAAAGGGAGCAGTGAGACAATTCAGAACTGTTTTTCTCACTGAGGCTTTAAGCACTTGGTTTTGGAGATGGATATGGACATGCTTATTGAAAGTGAAAATGATGATTTACATGTGGAACTTCGACAGGTACAAAATTGCGAAGATTTTTATCCACTGACACCAAGCTTCAATGTTACGATGAAAATGAAGATTACGATGCTGCAATCGTTGCTCGAGTTGCAGCAAAACACACGACAGCATCGGAAGACCAAGAAAGTGATGATGATGACGCAGCTAATAAGTTGGTGCAAGTGACAATACAGGATGCGAGGAAATGAATTGAAACTTTGCGTCGGTATTTCATGCAGGAGGGGAATGAAGCAGTCCCATTGCTGTGCTAGATGTTTGTGGTGATTTTGTTCCCTTGAAATCCGTCAAGAGAATGTGTCAGATCACATTGGATAAGTTCTTGAAATGTTGACTGGAACTTGGTAAGAAATTGTTTTTATTGTGCTTCACATGTTGAGTATCATGGAGATTGTTTCTTAGAATTTGTTTCTAAATTAATTTTCTCATTGAAAAAGTTCGACTGTATGTCTTGTTTGTACATGTATGTTCGCCATATGTGTGGACTGCACCATAAAGTTCATAATTACATTTTAGTACATGATTTACATGTACATTTACTGTTTGCTACATATAGCACATCCCGTCTTACAACATAGGACATGTTCGTGTAATCGGACCAGCCGGTTATTAGGACCAAAACGATCGCTTCCCAATGTGGTCCGATTAACCGGAATTGACTGTATTCATGGTATATTTTAGTATATAATAGTATTTGTATTTTATATTTTTTCTTTGCTCTCTCCAGACTTAGATAGTATGTTTTTATTGTTGAGTTGTATCTGCTTGTACTACTAGTTATTCACTTACATCTGTAAGCCTCATGGAATACTTCAGGGAATGTGAGGAGTTTTGTATTTGTTTTCTGAATTTAGAAAGAAAAAAAATGCTTTGACTTCTAAGAAGGTGCATTTAGTATTTTATAAATTTATACTTGTTAGAAGTTAGAACTTTCTATAATCATCCCTCTGCTGCCATTTACTCATATCTTGTGAATAATAAATAATTTTTGAAAAAATATAAAATAATAGAGTTTTGGCTGTCATGAATCTTAACACATAGAACTTGCTTCTGCTTTGCTGGCATCAATCCCTACAGACCTACAATATCATTGTAAAAAATAAATATAGTAATTTCAATGAAATTTATTAAAATTTATTGAAAATTATTTATTTTGTATTAGTTTTTTTTTTTTTTTTTTTTTTTTTTTTTGGTACCGTAGAGACTTATGAAAGGTACAATATGTGGCTGATTACCTTTTGGATCAAACCATTAATTTTGGCTGCTGGTTTTGTTAGCACTTATGCCACCGTTGTTATTTTCAAATTCCTTTGCATGGTCTAATGAATTATCTTCCAATAATGACAACTGTAATACTCGTCAATATCAACATTTGGATGATAAAAATAATTCATTCGATATATCACTGTCTCCTGAACGTTTCTGGTCTTATGAACAATAAGTACTTTCTAAAACAAACCAAAATTTTCTAATGTCAAATCATCTCTTTCATGGCTTTTTTCTAACTAATCGTTAATAGGAGGTCACCTTTTTGTCATTCATGTATGGATGCATTCTTCAATAGTCTTCTGTTCATTCTCACAAGTACTCGCTAGCTGCCGGTTGAGGGGAAAGGACAGCAATATTGGTGCTACACCTCAGCATGTTAAATGTATATGTATGGAACCCTAATTTTAGAAAAAAGTACCTTCAAGGTCTGAATTTTTGGTCAGTCAAATTAAATTTAATGAGTCTTATTCTATATAACAAAACAAACAAACAAAAAAAAGTTCCTGTAAGATTATATCACTGCACTGCTATAAATTTTAACATACCTGTGCTATCTACTTTTTCTCAATGAAAAATATTTTTACAGATAAATTATAAAGAATCACCAGTTTACCTGGCGAGATTTCGACACCTTCAGAGTCAAGCACTGGGCATGATTCGATCATATGTTGTAGCTACTTTGCAGCAAGCTACGCAGCAGGTACTGCCAAGGAGGGATAATTTGTCACCATCTGAAAATGCATTTACTTTATATTATGGAAAATTTCGTTCTCATGCACCTAGAATACATGCCTTGATGAAACAAATTGAAGAAAGGATTGATAAAATTCCTGAGTATGTATAATATGTTAAAATCTTTTAAGATAATAGTGAAAATTTCCTGAGTTTATTTTTTAAATAATATAATTAATGTTGATCTTTTTGAATATGATGATTTTGGTATTATTGTATTGTCATAAGTATATGATGACACTGCAAATGAACCGTCCTGAATTTTTTAATGTTTCTTGTGGAGGAAAACAAACCTGTGTATAATGCTACACATATGAAACTATGATTTTTTAATGTTTCATTTGTATTTGCATTTTTTAATGTATTATACTTTTTAATGTTTTGTAATGGCCTTTGTATTTGAAAGTGTTCTAAAAGTAAATTAATTTGATAGTTTAAATAGCATGCATTGAGATAAAATTAAGTAAGCACATTTTCTGCTAATGTAAAATTGATAAATAATAAATTAGAGTGAAACCTCACAGGATGACTATTTGTAAAAGGCCTAATATTTCTGAAAACATTATTTAATAATGGGATTTAAGAGCTGCTAATCCCCCTGCCCGTTAAAACCAGATAATTCCTTGTTTTTCATCACATCCTTGCCTTCGTCCTGGCCTGCATCATCACCAGATGTGGTGGTTTTTATATTTATCTCAATTTAGATCAACTCCTTGAAATTTAGTTCCAGAAAAAGTATTGAACACTAAGTTTCAAAGTAAGAAGAAAAACTGTCAAGAAAATTGTAATGACAAATTCTAGAAAGAACTAACATAAAGATTCTGTTATCTGTCAGTAAAGCTTAAATCATGAAAATTCTATTCCCTTCCTCCTGATTTTCAGAATATGTTTTCTTATTAAGTTCTGCTCCACTCAAACTGCTTAAATCCATTGCAAATATGAGAGAGTTTTTTTCATCCTAATCAAATTTTCGTCAGCATACAATTTTAAGAAAAATTAGAAAATCAAATTAAATCAGCCCAAAACATGTTCAGTTCATGAATGTAATTTATTCTTAAAGCTCATTCGTCATCTGAAATGTTTGGAAACTGAAACTGTTTTCCTCATAGGAATATGTGACTAAACATTTATTCTGTTTTTGGACCACAGAAGATTACTTATTTAAATTTTATAACAATACTTACCGCTTAATAGTAAAATGAAGGGAGATCATTAAATGTTAAAAAAATGTGTCGAATATAATATTTAACAGCTAAAATAGATAAAAATTTAATTTTATCATACATGTGCAAAGAAAATGGAGGGTATATGTGGAAAATACTAAAAAAGAGAAAAAGAACAGATGCTGTTGTTTGGGTCAGGAGTGCCTTTGCACAAAGATATCATACAAGGTTCAGCTATTAATTTCCAGAACTTGTGGAATAACTCAGAAGAAAAAAAGGTTAAACACATAGCCATTTAATATGATTCAAAGTAATCCCCATCATCAGCTGTAATGCACGTCTGTGCTCGGCTGTACAAATTTTGGAAAGAAGTTTTAAAGTCCTCTTTTGGAATGCTCTTTAATAGTGACATTACAGTTTTCTTGATGGCTTCGACATCCTGAAATCTTGCTCCCTTCAGCAAATTTTTCAGCTTAGGAAACAGGAAAAAGTCTGCGGGTGCTAGGTCTGGAGAGTATGGTGGATGCTGCATTTCAATGACACCGTGCTTAGCTAAGAATCACCTCAAGTGTGTGGGCAGGCATTGTCATGTAGCAGCAGCCAACTCCCACTTTGTTGAAAATGAGGCCTCACTCTACGAATTTGTTTTCGAAGTCGGTGAAGAACTTCTGTGTAGAACTGTCCATTGATAGTCATGTTAGGACGAAGAAATTCATGATGAATGAGTCCATCACAATCGAAGAAAGTGATTAACATGACTTTGATTTTGGACTTTTCAAATCAAAATTTTTTCTGCCTTAGTGAACTTGGAGACTGCCATTCGGAGCTTTGACGCTTGGTTTCACGATTGTATTGATAACACCAAGACTCGTCTCCCATGACTTTCCTATCCAGGAATGCAGGGTCAGCATCAGCATTGTTGATAAGTTCGCCACATGCGCCCAGTATCAATTGCTTTTGTTCGTCCCTTAAATGGTGAGAAACGAATCTGGAACAAATCTTGCGTTTGCCTAGGTCTTGTGTCAAAATTCGGCGAACTGTCTCTTTTCCATGTTCAGTTCCATGTTCAGCGAGTACTCGAATAGTCAATCGACGATCACATTTCACCATATTGCGAACTTTTTCAATTGCTTCTGCTGTGCGTACGGACTGCGGCCGACCTGTGTGTGGATCATCTTCGACGCTTTCGTGCTCGTCCTGAAAGCATTTAAACCATCCAAAAGTTCTTGAGCGGGATAATGCTTCCTTGCCGTAAACTTATTTTAACATTTCTTAGGTTTCCGCAGCTGTCTTGGCCAATTTGAAGCAAAATTTAATGTTAATTCTTTGTTCCATTTTCACTTCGATAATAGAAATTTAAGAGTACATATTAATGCGCCTTTCCACAAGAACCACTTACTTCAGAATGGCACCAATTGCACTGTGCATGCGCAAGAAAACGCTCTTCAATATGCAATCATTAGTGCCATCTTCCATCTTTTCGTTCTCCTACAGTTACGTCAGTCCTGGAAATTAATAGCCGGACATTATATAATTGTCTTTCTGGAATATCTTCTTTTATGTTTGCTTTATCACTTAGCACCACATGACTTTGCCTTTGCTCCATTTCACTCAAAATGATCTAGTATGATTATTTGTTGCCTGTTTTAAAATGTTTCTTTAGTGAGACATATCATGTTCGCTGAAAATACACATGCTGTATATTGTTTTGCTTTCTCAGGATAATAGCTCTACATGAAAACTTTGCATCTGACCCGATTTTGCACTAATTTCTGAGACTGAAGATCAATCAATCTTCCCTTCCTTCCTCTTCCTAAAGAAAACATTGCTTTAACAATTGCTTTTTGTTGTTGCTCTTGAAGTCGTTCCAATTCTTTCTTGAAGCTCATTTTTATGATCCCCTAGTAACTCCTTCGCATCTTTATTGTTAAATTCCATCTCACGGTTTTGCCTAGAGACTATAATATCATTGTTAACAGATAAACCTTAGGAGTTGGAGCTGTCAAATTCTTTGCCTGCAATAAAATCTAGCCACAATTATATCTAAGCCTAATTCATTATCGAAGTCTCTTGCTGCCAGGCTTTGTTAATGCAATTAAATGATGAAAAATATTAAAATGATGTATTCTATTAAGTTGTTTTGTAAGTGATCACAAAACTCATCTGAAGGTCATTTGTGTCTGACTTGAATCTTGTAACTTGAGATGGCATTTTTTGCCACAGTCATTTTTTGAGATAATTTTTTTTTTTTTTTTTTTTTGGTGTGTGTATGTGATCTAAGGTTACATCATATTTAATTCGCTATTCTGAATTTTAATTTAATACATTTTACTTCAAAATTTTGTTATGACTAGCTTAATTATTGAGTTGTGCATTATAAACTGCAATGTCACTGCAGAACCTCCCATTTTATTATATTTTAAGGTTGGCATCTATGATAGTGAACATGGCCAGAATTCATATTCTATAAAATGCCAAGTGCCGCAGGAGGTACGTTTTGCTGATACCTTAAAGAGCAATTTTAGGTTTGGAGTTTCTTTGATTATGGCAAAGCACACTGGGGCTATATGTCTATTCGAAGGGATTCCCTTGTGGAGGAATTTCTTAGTCAAACAATCTTAATCCAACAAATCCTAAATTGATATGTAGTATGGATTCAAGATTCAGACTTTTTAAGGCTTCAGCAATTCTGTATTTGGGATTTTTTTCTGGATATTAGATCATCAGTTTAAATCTGGTAAGATGACATGTAGAAATTATGAAATAATGAAGCATTTATGACTTTGAAGGAATGAAAATTAAAAAAATAAAAAATAATAATAATAAACCTGAGTATTTATTTGTTCATTTTATTAAACATTTCTTTCAATGTTAGTTGTTTTTTGCTTCCTTTTTTGTACTAATACTTTCTCTTTAATTCTATAGATAGACACAATTTTTTGTTCAGTTATGAAGCTTTATTTTTCAGGTCCTGTAACTGCTGTTTCAAGAATTCCCACTAAATTGTCAATCGAAATTTATTCATTCTCAACAACCCGTTTGTCACTTTCTTCACAATCGATAGTCATAATCACTTTTAGTTTATCGGTAGTGATATTTTCTGGACATAGTAGCATATTAAAGATTTTATTGTTCTTAGATGATTGATGATTGGTGCACTGTCATCGCAAGGAAAAACGTCTTCCATCTATTACCACTTCTCCATAAATTTCATTACTTGGAAAATTTTGCTTTTTGTTTGTGATATCTGAAAACCTTCAAATTCGCAGCTTTCATCTAAAGCTTTGCTGGCATCTGCCATACTCTATTTGTGATGTATGATGAGTCTAACGACTAAAGACATGTTGTTCCACTAAATTTTGTCTTGCTCCTGTTGCACACTGAAGTTAAGCCAAAATTATTTTAGTAATTTCTTATTCTTATGACTGTTTCTTGCTCATGCTTAAAGCTTATCTGAGTCCTCAATAAATAAATTCCCACATATACATAACGTTTGTCCAGGGCTAAACCTGTTGTGTCCCGGTACGGTTTCTGCAATTCCAAAATTCTGCTGCCATGTGCCTGCTTAGTTCTAAACATTTTTGCCACTTCTAAATTTTGCGTTAGCTGAAATTTAATCATCACTAGTCATAATGTCAACATAAAAGGTTACTGTGCTCTTTGGTATTCAATTACTAATGTTAAATTTTTTTTAAAAATACTTTAAACATCCACTGAGTCATTTCTGAAGCTGCAGTGTGTTGATAGCCATATGATGATGAAAGCAAAAAATAATAAATAATGATTTGCCAGTTTGTACGTAGTGCCGAAGTGAAATTTAGAATCAGGACTCTCCACATGTTTTATTATGAAAAAATATCAAATGTGCAAGCATGAGCATAAAAAAATGTAAAAAAAAAAAAAAAAAAATCTGAAAGCTTTCAGATTTTACATTACGCCCAAAGGGGCTTTTTTTAAACCTTTTGTGTGTCGCCTTTATTTATTAAATATCTTGTTCTTTGTACTTAAACCATTAAATTCAATTCAACAGCAATATTACAAAATAATTTCAAAATGAGCATATCTTAAGAATTTCTGATGCACAGTCTTGCACTCTGGAGATAAATCCTGCCCCCAGTACAGTTTTGCCATTGCTTGCTTTGAAATCTTGAGTTTGTAAATCAAAAATTCATTGAAGTGTTACAAAATATGAAATTGATAATAAAACAAATTTCAGATTTGGGCTTCCAGATGCCCAAATTAGGATAGAGACATACATTATTAAAAATTTGATGACTCTGAGTCCCATTGTTTTATCAAAATGCAAGAAACAAACATACATTTCTGCAAGAGTCTTCATTATTTAATTTCTTTAAATATAGCACAGGGCGATAATATTTGGTGGCAATAATTTGAAAAGTGAACCGACATTTAAAGTTTTCAACGCAAAATGCCAAAACGAAATTAATAGCCCTGCTGGGCTAATGTCCTTCAGGCTTAAAAAAAAAAAAAAGTTGCTATTGATCTGGATGTCTGGATTTCTTAATTTTCATTCTCCCAGTTCTGCATTGAAAATTTTAATTAATTATATCAGGATGACAGGATGTGTTTCAGTTTATTTTTTGCATTAAAAAATGTAGTCTGATTAATTTTTCCTTTCTTTTATGGTCCGTGTAAGAATTACAGTATTTTGTATCTTTACCAAGTCTGTCACAGGACCAAAATTGTGGTAGTTTAAAAGTCTGCTTTATTGAATTCATTTCTGAAGGGGAAAATTCTACATGAAGGGGAAAATACTAAAATGAATTGTGAATATTTTTAAATCTCATCAAGTTCAAATAAAAGAAAATGTTAAAATTTCATATAAAAATTTTCATGAACAAGAACAGCAATTAAATTAGGAAATTTAAAAGAAATGAAATTTTAATCCTCAGGTATTGTTGTATTAGTGTTGCATTTATTTATTTACATATTTTATATTCTGTAATTTTACAGTTATGAGCTGCTTCTTTCGGATTGCCACCAGTGCTACTTCAATCAGCGTGAGATATTATTAGGCCCTAGTGTTTCAGCAACTATTACTGAACTGGCTGAAAAGCACCAGAAAGATCATTGCTCTCTTGTACGAAGTGGTTGTGCATTTCTCCTTCATGTTTGTGAGGATGAAAATCAGCTTTTCCAACAATTTTTTTCTCAAAATACAAAATATTTATCGTAAGTATTAATTGAACTTTCTGTCATTGTTAGCTTTTGAATACATTTTCATTTATGAAAAGTAATAATTTAGTTAAAGAATATAGTCAAACTTCTATAAACCATCACTTGGATAATATGTCCTTCCTCTTATGCCATCACTTTTACAAAGCCCTAAAATCTCAATTATTTGTCCAAATAATTTATCCATTTTCCATCTTGTTATTCAATAGTGTCTTGTGCTTGATATTTCATTTTCAGTGTATATTACATTTCTTTATAGAAAAACCATTCAGTTTCCAAGTAACAGCTTTCAACAAGACATACAAGATGCATTTTGATTTCTCTTTTTCTGTCTTCCTAGACTATTTTATGCAATTTTAGGAAAGTGCATTCAAAAAAGTAAAATACTATAATAATATAATCATAATAATAATTATAATTTTTTGTTAATTTGAAGAATTAATGCTGAAATTTGGGAAATAAAAACAGTAAATTTCTTCTCTCTAAAAAATAAATAAATGTGTTTGAGGAATGGAAAAATAAATGTGTTTGAGGTGTATGCTCTTATAGAGCCAATGCTTTCATGAAAATTATTTTAAAACAAACTGGTAACTTATAAGAATTTTATGAGAAAATAAATCTTTTTAAGAAGCATTCAACTAATTTGGGAGCCTCTGAATTGAACATCTATATGTGAAGCTACATCATATCTACATCTGAAAATTGTTTAATATATCATGCATGAACTGAACCATTAAAAATTTTTTTACTTACGTGTTTGAAGCGTTTATTGAGATTTAAAGTCTGTTATTAATGCAATGTGTTGTTGATGTATTCCTTTTTCTGCTATCTTTATCCCCTGCATGCTCTAAAAGTAGCCTTTTCTTAATAATAAATTATAGAAATGGAAGTATTTATCTTTTATTCATTGGTTAATACATAGTGCATGTTTTTAAGGGTTTTTTTAAGGTTTTAAGGTACTTTATCACATAATATAGTTACAATGATATTTAAAAATAATACTTTAGTTTTTAATGTATGAACCACAGTTACAAGTTCTAGTAAAGCATTGTTGTAGTTTCATAATGTGTGTAACATATTATTATGATTACTTACAAGTTGACCATATGTAAGACATTTGTGCATGCTTGTTCCTAACTTTCTTGCTACATTTGAGATTTTTAGATAACTCAATGTAGATATTTTTCCGTTAAATAGATTTTAATTTTAAAACAGACATATTTTGACATTCAGTTTGTTTCAGTGCTATATAGCTTTTTACAATAGTAAAATAAATATTTTCATTGCGTATGCAGTGTTGTTTTAGTTTGATTATTGTATTTTTCCAGAGAATTTCTTGAAGGTTTATGTATTCGCCTTTATGATGTATTGAGACCAATAATTATCCATATAAACCATTTAGAAACTCTGGCTGAACTTTGTGGAATCCTCAAAGTAAGTTTGTTTTAAAAAACTTTTATGTGTCAAAATTTTGAAGATATACAATTTACTTTTTGTGCAGCTATCTATAAAAAGATATAATCATGCGTATAAAAAATACTGTCACACAAATATCATCATATATTTGTCACCACTATTCAAAATTTGATAGTTATAATGTTGGAATTAATATTTTTGTTGCTGCTAATGCATGAAATAAATTGAAAATTTGTCTTTCAATTTTTGATGTCGTAATAATTCATTTTGCTGTATTTAAAACTTGATTTATTTATTTTGTTTTTATTTTTGGAAATTTTATTTCATAACTTTTTTAAAACTTAAAAGTTTTTTTTATTTTAATACTTGTATATTTTTTCAATTCACTTTTTGTACATTATTAGGTTGAAATGTTGGAAGAGCATATGCAATATGGAGGTAATATTCATATTTCATAAGAATATTAAATAAAATATTTCAATCTCATTTTTACTTTTTTAGTTCTTTAAATTAGATAGATATATACAGTCAAAAGTCGTTAATCTGGACTCGTCAGGACTTCGGCGATTCCGGGTTATCGATTTTTCCAGATTATAGATCATCAGTTTAAATCTGGTAAGATGGCATGCAGAAATTATAAAATTAAAAATATGAAAACGTAGTTTATGAAATAAAGAACAATTATGATCTAAAGGGTATCAAAATTTACAAAAAAAAAAAAAAAAAAGCTTAATATTTATTTGTTTACTTTATTAAACATTTCTTTCAATGTAAGTTGTTTAAGTTGCTTCATTTTATGTGATAATACTTTCTCTTTAATTCTATAAACAGACATAATTTCTTCTTCAGTTACAAAGTTCTGCTGTTCAAGTCCTATAATTGCTGTGTCGAGAATACCGACTAATTTGTCAATTGAAATTTTTTCAAAATTTGTTCGTTTTCAATAACCTCTCTGTCACTTTCTTCACTATCAGAAGCAGTATTTTCTGGATCTAGAACCATACTATAGATTTTGCCATCTGTTAATTGATTGATGATTGGGCATGATCTTTTTGACATAATTGAAAGTTCAAGCTTAATTTTTATAAAATTGCTCTAACAGTCTGTAAAAAATAATAAGCCGGATCCAATTAGAAGCTTTAGGAACAGTGCAATCTGCAACATTAACTGAAATGCCTTAGAATCTGTAAAGATAATTTTAGCCTAGCTTATACTGTCCATTATACATTAAATGTGCATGCGTAAAGCATACAAAAAAAAAAATTTGTGGCTTTGAGGTCCAAATTATAGATCATTCCGAATAATGGACATCCGGATTACGGACTTTATATTGTATTTGCTTTTCAGTGTAGTATGCTACCATGCGTCATTAATTTCGATGATTTGGGTTTCAGTTGGGCAGCAATTAACAGTTTACTGTGAAATTGAATTATTATATTTACTCTAATGCATTTATGTGTGTATCAATAGAGTTCAAGCAGATGGTATAATTATTTTTTCAAATCTTTTAATTGTTCAGTAAGTCTTTGTGTGCCACCCTTAAAACTCCGTGTCGCAGGTTGGCCATCCCTGTTGTGAACAATTAGAAACAGTCAATCACGCTGGAGCAAAAATTTTGAATTTTCTGATTGCTTTTTCTTGCAGTCTTTCAAAATAGATATTATCAACAAAGTGAAATCTTACTTGCAATGAAAAAAAAAAAAAAAAAGAGTTCCTTTAACTTCAATGTTAACCTTATGGCCATGCTTCAATCTACTGTGATGAAAAAATGACTGACCATCAAAAATGTCAAGCTTCATAAAACGTTTTCCACCTTCATTCCAATCACTAATACCTGGAAATTCTTTACGAGTAAGAACCAAAGACATGAATAGGGCATTTGAAAAAGGGAAGAAATATTCTTAAAAAATAAAAATTAAAAAAATTTTAAAAAAAAATTGGTGGGCCAATTAAAATAATCTAAATTTGGAGAAAGCCACTTATGTAAAGAGTTCATCTGCTTTAGTACTATTAAAAACAATGTAGATCTCTAGAGCAGTGCTTCTTAAACTTTTTTCATTTATGACTCTATTTTTCTCTCTCTTTATCTATATATTTTTGCAACATTAGATATTAAATATGAAATGAAGATATAAAAATAAATATTTTCCTATAAATTATTTCTCTGGCAAACAATGTACATATGAAAAGTAGTAGTTTTAGGATTTATTTCAAGTATATGAAAATTAATAAAAGAAAATCACATATTAATGAGATGAATCACTTGTTTTTTTTTTTTTTTTTTTTTTTTTTTTTTTTGTTTCATAAGAAATAAAATTTTGATGAAATATTTGACATTGCTGAAGATAAAGCATCTTCTGTTTTTTTCACCTTTAAATTAAAATTGAATTTAATGAGCATCAAAGCTGAAAAAGTCATTTTACATAAATGTGTAGTGCTGAATGGCAAAACATTTAATGCTGTTCTGAAATTGGAGAAAATTCAGTTTTAGCTTCGACCCAGAATTCAGTCAAGGATTTTTATGGAAACTCAAGTTATGAGACACTTGATAGTTGAGTAAATTCATCTTCGACTTTTATGACAGTCAGTTAATCTTATTAATGCATATCAAAATTAGTTTTTGAATCCAAGATAGCTTTTTGAAATCAAAATTCATCGTGGAGTATTAGCAAATATGTGCTTGTAGTGTTTTAACTGCGATCTTTCTCGTGCAACGCTGTCCATTCAAAATTTGAAGCTGGAGTTTTGATATAGGAGTACACAAATAAAATTTTGTGAAGATAGTACTTTTAATTCTGTGAAGATAGCTCTTTTAATTCTGTGGGTGCCCACACCCACAGAATCAATCAGTGTGCCCAAAGTGGACACACTGATTGAATAGAGCTTCGAAAAGTGTGCTGAAACGAGCATTGTTGTCAATGAACTGACCAATGATATGTGGAGAAACAAAAAATACAGACTCTCAGTTGTCCTAGATTATTGGTGAGCCAGGTCTGGTCACACCTAGGGTTCGTCCGTTTGATTTTAGGCAAGATTGTCAAGGTAAAAATTTAAAACTTATATACAATAAGGAGATTAGCATACGGCCAAAAAAATAACATAGAAATTTCTTTTCAAACAACAATTCCTTTTATGCCCTAAAAAAATCTGGAAGATTTCTTTGAAAAATGAGGGTCTTAAAAAACTAAACGTGGCTAAAATATATGGACTGGTTTGTGTTGAGCTGCCATCTACTATAAATAAAGGAAGATTCAGAGTAACCTATAGTAACCTATAAATCCTTTTTCATTAAATTTTTCTGTTCATACAGAAGGAAATTTTTAGATGTGTCCAGACCGGACACATTGTGCCACAAAGGCTTAAAATGGTCTATAATAATTTTTGCAATTAAAATTTTACAGTTATTTTTGCATTTATGAAACTTTCAATAATTGGAAACATTTCAAATGAATCATTTTTTGCCCCATTCTTCCAAGTGCTAAACTTTTAATAAACACTTTATATTTCATCGTTTGAAGTAAATATATTGCTATTTTTTCCTTGAAGAGACAAGTTGAGATCGTTAAATTGCTTAAAAATGTCTGACAGATAGCACTGCTTTGATAACCATAAGTAATTTTTAAAAATAGTAGCAAGATCAGAGTTTTGCTCAGTTAAAAATATATTTCTTCTTTTAACAAAAGTAATCTTCTTAAACTTTACCCTCTTGGCATCCATCTTACTTGTAATAATAAATTTTTATATTTGGAGTCCACATATGTCTTTAGACGGATTTGAAAATAAATTACTGTTAATTAGCATTTGGCTTTTAATTTTTAGCTATCGGATCTGAAACTTCATATGATGGGAGCAAATGTTTTTTCCCCCAAGAGGCACAAATTTCCCAAAATATTGTTTTCCTTTATTTGAAGATTTTTAGCACTCTTGAAATATTCTTTTGGTTTACTGATGTATGAAAGATGCTTTGATTTAATATGCCTTTTAATTTTGATAGTTTCATACTCTTTGTAGCTTAAACATTACTGCAAATTATACTGCTGTTTATTGAAGTTCCTTCACCAGGAACTAGAACAAATAACAGAATCATATTTATTGTACGCTGCACAAAAAAAAAACCCGTTCTACTGGGTTGATTGGCAAAATTCAAATTGTGTTTTTCATGTCTCAAAAGCACAACTTAGGGTGTGTATTAGATTTATATATAGCATTATTCTAATATATGTATTTTGACACAAAATCGGACTTTTTCTGAAATAACATACCGATTCTTTTTCATATTTCAATTCTACGACTCAAATTATGCCAAACTACCAAGTTTTGTAAAAATCGCATGGGTAGTTATTAAAAAATTTAGCTCTCAATGTTTTAGTTCCACAGTGTTAATTGAGTTTGGTATATATTTATTAATCTCTGTTTTTTTTATTAAACTTATTTGATTCTTCTTTTCACATTTCAAAATTCAGGTTCATTCCAAATAAAATTCACCCATTTTTTTATGATTTATTTTTAAAATTTGCATTTTTAAATAATTTTTGAATTATAATCTATAAAACTTTTTTATCATCATCTTAAAGTAGATGTATTTCTAAGCATACCAGCGAAAAATTAGGTTTTTATTCAAAATTTCCGGAGATTTACATGAATTTATATATTGGTACATTTTGAAATTTGGCATATTTGTTGAAAGCGATAAAACATCAAATGTGATTTAAACACTTTGCTAAAATTATTTGAAAGAAGGAACGATGTGGCTTTTTTTCTGCTCATGCACAATGAAAAAAGGCTGGAACAAGGTTGAATTGAGGTGAGTTAAGAGCAGAATCTGAACACCCCTGCGGCTTACTAAGACTATTCGGGTCTAGTCCAGGTTCCGCAACTATCCGGGGCAACAAGGGCATACATTGGTCCTGTATACATGCTTACATAGTTCGTAACATATGCTTATAGTAGTTGCATACACTGGTGTGCAAAAATTAAGGACAAGACGGTTTTTTCAATATAACTTTGTACAAAAGCTTTCCAAATCAACACATTTAATACCCCAATACGTAAGGACATGAGTAATGTAAGCAACACTTACTAAAAGAGAAATCAGAGGGATAAAAAGAAGCTTTATTGAAAAAGTAGCATGGAGCGCAATGCGGCTGAAGGCCGAAACATCCCTGTGATGGGTATCCAGCAAGAAACATTCGGTCTTTAATAGGGGATATGATCTTCCCTGACTGCTAGGCGGGTTTCACAGCGTCTGCCCATGTTGAGAATGAGGGTGTCAATGAGTTGTTGAGGCATTGCTGCCCATTCGTCTTGCAGCGCCAATCGAAGCTCCGAATCGTTACTGGTGGTAAGGTACGAGCTGCCAAGCGTCTGCCTAGAAAATCCCATACATGCTCGATGGGATTGAGATCCGGAGATCGTGCCGGCCAATCCATACGTTCAATATCCTCACTCTCTAAGAGCTGTTCGGCAGCTACTGTGCGATGACATGGTGCATTG